TATTGAAATACAAAATACACTTAAGAAACACACACACCCTTCACACCCCTTCCCTTGTCCCTGTCCCTTTTATTTTCGGATTAATTTTCCCACGTTGAATAATCGTTTAATAAATGTATAATAATGTCTAATTAAACGTTACTTCACATGAGAATCAAGCGTATACAGAACATCACTGTTTTAAGGAAAGCAGTGATGTCTAATAAACGCTGAATAATCAAAAATTTTATCGTATAAACTCTGTTACAACTCATATATGTCGAATAAAAGCTTCTCGACATACCTTATACAACACCAGTAGTTCAATGTTGTGGTTGAATAAATTCTCCAGATTTGTGTGAACAAAGCCTGAACAGAAGTTATTATTAAAAATAGTACAAGTACTATTAAGCATGCAGTTGAATAAAATGGCCAAGAAGTCGTTTCTTCAATAGACGATTGTTTGTTGGGAGGTCCAACAAGGTCGATATGAACGTGTCTAAATCGAGCCTTTGGAAGATCAAATTCACCCAGAGGAGACGTAATATGACCTTCGAACGTTGATAGTTTAAACAGTTCTTGACAAATCTGTTGATAGGAGCATTCATGGAGGGCCACACGAAACGCTCTGCTATGAGTTTTCTTGTAGCCCGAGAACAGGGATGCGCTAGTTCAAGAAAGTGCGTCATGACATTTACTTAGGAATATACGGATGAGGATGGCCGGTTGAAATGTCACAGTATATGTTTAGACCGGACTGTGGGGTGGCAGTGACTTGACTTCAAATTTCAGGAATGTTTTGTTGGAATTCATTAGAGATTCAAGCTCCACGTCATCTTTCTGATCACGACTAATTAATCAATCAACGTAATCAATTGAATTCGGTGATAGAATACTATCTACACGCGAATGTGCATCAGCAACAACATTGTATTTTCCGCTGACATGCTGGATGTCGATTGTGAATTGCGATATAAATCTAAGGTATCGTTCTTCATGCGGTAATCGTGGTAAGTGAATTCAGTTGCCAACGCGAAAGTTACTGGACGATGATCCCGTGAAAATAGTGAAGTTACGCCTTTCTAGTAAATGTCGAAAGTACTTCACAGCCATTTTCATAGCGTTTAACTCACGCCCAAACGTGGAATAGGAACACTGAGATTTTGAAAATATTTCAGAATAAAAACCTAGTGGTTCCCAAACAGTGCCGTTTAACTGTTGTAGTACCGCCTCCGCAGCAGTGTTCGAAGCGTCGATTGCACTGTTCGAAACTTTTGCGTGTAGCCTCCGTCCAATGTAGCTTCCGAGAGTCATTTTTCCAGTTGTCTGGAATCAGTTTCCGCAACTTAGCTTGTATATCCGTGGCATGACGAATGAACCGCTTATACCCGTTCACAAGCGCCAAGAAGCGGCGCAGTTCCTTAACGCTCGTAGGCAATTCGTAGTCCATAACAGCTCGTACCCGTGCCGGAAGAGGACGCACACCATTTTCGCTGATGGGGTATCCCAGGAACTCCAACTCAGTGCGTCCAAAAACGCTTTTATGACCAGACCATGTTGACACAATGTTTCAAATACGATTCGTATGTGTTCGAGATGCTCTGTAGTGGAGGAAGAAGCAATATGTACATATATCGTCAATAAAGACAATCACAAAGTCCAAGTTAGCGGAAATCCGATTCATGTAACACTGAAACCAAACGGTGTAATGACCGCCGTTTTTGGAATGTCGTTCTCTTCTACAGGGATTTGATGGTAAGCTCTCTCTAAGTCGGTAGTAGAAAAAATGGACTTACCATGGAACAAGTTCAGCAAATCATGGATGTGCGGTACTGGGTACCTATCCGGAGTCGTGGCTTGAATCAAACGACGATAATCTCCTACGAAACGCCATTGACCGTTCTTTTTGGGCACACAATGTAAGGGACTGGCCCAGTAACTACTTGACGGCCGACAAATTCCTAAATCGCACATGACTCTGAATTCTTCCTTCGCAGCTTTTACTTTTTCAGGATGCATCCGACGAACTTTCGATGCTATTGGAGGCCCTTTAGTAAGGATATGATGAGTAACGTTTTTCTGCGTCTGTTACCGCATCGTAGCAGGCACCGTTATTTCTCAATACTCCAGTAGTAGTTCCCGATACGGATGATCTGCGTTTACTGTCGTCACATTGTAGACCTGAGCTGTCATCACATTTCCTGGGGAACTCAAGCCAGTCTTCCCGTCCGTTAGGCGTTGATGTTTCAGATCCACTAGAATGCCGAAGTGTGCAATAAAATCGGCATTGTAATGTCTGGTCAGCAATCAAAAAAATCTAAAGGAAGCTCCACCGGAGTTCGAGGTCCGGGCTTAGAAATTTTGTCCCGTATGTTTGAATCCTGGTCCCGTTTGCCGCGTGAAGTGATTCTACAGTAAACCCTATTGGTTTTTTCTCACTTATTAGCCGGTAATATCGACACGTCTGATCCGATATCGATTAAATAATGGTAGTTGGTTGTGCGATCGTGAATGGTTAAACGGCGGCTTCCATCAGACACTGCCCCCACCTCCACCGAGATAGGTGGGGAAGCTTCTAGTTTTTTTTTTATCAAAGGAACAAGGCTGCCGACACTGGCGTGCGTCGTGACCATAGTTTCGGTGATACCAGCATAGCTCACCTTGTGATCGTCTTCCGGTAGCAAATCGGGTTCTGGAAACGGATCGGCTACATGAACGGTCTACTGTTTTCAATTTTCGGATTTCTGCTATGAGAAAATCGATGTCCGGCCGGAGAGAACTTTCCGCCGTGTTTTCTGATTCCTTTCCGCTTACAACGACCGCTGAAGCCTGGACGCTTGCTGTATCCACCATTTTGTCTGCCATTTCCGCAAGCTTGGCCAGTGTTCCGTCGTGACAAGTGATGATAGAACGAATGTTCGCAGCCAAACGCTGGATAAACAACATCTTCAACAAATTGTCGTCAACTCCCAAACCAACGTTCCTGCATTTTTGACAGCAGATGCGTAGGACGTAGATCCCCCAGATCGTGCGTTCCGAGCAGGCGTTCCAACCTGTTTTCCAGCGAAAGGGCGAATCGAGCGATCAGTCGGCTTGTTACGACATTGTATTTGTTTTCGGCGGGCGGCGTTGCAACAAGATCGGCAATGTGACAAATCAAGACCAACAATTGAAATGGCCTTAACTCCATTTTGTAAACAAACCATGTAAAGCCATTTGATCGCGAACCGAAACCTACATCTGCAAACCTAAACCACAATCGGGTAGAGGAGAATTCTAGACTAACATTTGAAAAGGGCGTAATTCCAAAATGACCATATCGAGAAAATCGCTTCTCAATTTTGATGACCTAAAAATTAATCCTATTTCACGACTTTCCATTTTCTGGATGATTTTATAAGCTTGACATATAGTTAATAGGGTAATCTATCATCATGCATCACTAAAAACTCAAAAAAAAGTTTTCTTTGTCGTGAAATCGAGAAGAAAACATCATACGCCCTGATAATTTTATACATGTTGTTACCCCCCGGATCATCCACCCTTTGAACTGCCAACACTGGTGATACGCCGTGGAAGTACACCCTCGGGATTTTTTGTTTGTTGTTCCGCCTTGGTTCTTCGTTCGCAAATTTTGTGAGAGTGGAATTACGCCCGGAGATTTTTTGGTCTTCTTTTTGTTCGTTGTTTACACGTGAACTATCAATCGGATGCATTTCAAATGAATCGGGCGTGACTAGATACTACAGACTCAATACGTTTGGCATATTAAAACGGTATAATTCGTAGCTCTGGTGCAAGGCGTAACAACCAGATGCATCATAGAGTTGGAAATACGCCATGTGAGAAGAAACGTTTTTGATGATTTGAAGTGATATTTTCTTCTACATTTTCGTGTTTATCGAGTAGTTTGTGAACTATTCTCTCTATATGTGGCAAAATATGGTTTGTTTACATTTTGGCTCTTACGCCCCTTTCAAATGTTAGTCTAGAATTTCTCCTACCTGTTCATTATGTTGGTTTGCCTTTGCGGACTTCCGTTCGCGAGAAAATGGCCTTACGAGGTTTGTTTACAAAATGGAGTTAAGGCCATTTCAATTGTTGGTCTTGAAATGACAGACTGGTCAACTTTTGCCACAATATGGTGAAATTTCGGCTCGTCGATGGTAATCTTGGCAAGGGCGAATTGCGATTCAGCTTGCGCAAATCACATGATCGGGTCCGTCTTCCAGAAGTCCGGTAATTTTACACCTTCTGCTGCAGCTTGATTGTTGGGCTTCGGGTTAGCCATTTTGAGGTTAGTTTCATACGATTTTCCGAAAAACGGGTCTTTGTGATCGAAACGGGTATACCGATCGAATTCGAAAGATTTCGCGACATCGCGGGTCACCAATGTGGTGTTTCGAACCGATTTCAATGATCGAAGACGTTTATTACGGATAATATCAAACTCTTTATTCTTGGCAATTTACACGCAATTGCAAACTCGGCGCTACAAGAATAATCCTTGTTTTTCTTTCCCCTCCTTCTCACCGTCACCCTCCTTCGTCAAAATGTCATTCATTGTTTCGTCAATGACAAAAACTGTCGACCTGGTTACAAAAACTGTAATTTCGTGCATTCTTTGTCACATCATTGTTATCCAAGCAGTTCAGGACGTAGATGCTTGTTCACTTTAACATGTACTTGTTTTGCTCAAGTCACTTAATTTCGTTACAAATTTAGCTAATCAAAAAAACTGCACACATTCGTCACTGACAGCATTGTTACTGACAATTGACATGGTTTGCCTTGACGAAGACTGTTAGTTCAAATAAGTGACGAAAGCAGAAATTTGAATACCGCCTTGCATTATACTACAATAGATCAAATTACTGGTTTATGTTTATTTGGTTTTATGTCCCGAACAGTTTTTTACCATCCTAATTTCTGAACATTCCCGGATCGCTTACAGTGTCTTGTACAATTGGATTTGAAAAAATAAACATGTTCCCCAGTGTTGATTCGAAATTTACACTCACCATCATCGTCGTAGGCAGGCGTGCTGTGACTCTTGTCCAGGCGACCCCGCTTCACCGTGTCCCGATTGATCAGCACCGTATTGATGGCTTCTGCGATATCAGTTTCCCGCGAAATTTGTCTCTGCATCGGAATCGGTTTCACCAGTGGTCGGTGGTTGTTGGTGCTACTACTACTGCTGTTACTATTCTCGCTACCAGTGGTCGTAGTACTGATGCCGTTCGAGTTACCACCATTGCCGATAGCTTTCTCGTTGGAGTTTTGGTTACATGCTACTTTACTGGGTTCAACATTACTGCAAAAAAAGGGGAATTTTATGTTGTTGGAAGTTGGTAATCACTTTTCGTCATCGCACCTGGAAGCACTCGAAGTTGAGCTGCCACTGCTGCTGCTACTGTTGTTGTTGTTGTTGGCACATTTTCTGTTGGCAATCGATTCGAATCGTTTCACTCGCTCGTTTACACTTTGAGCCGGTAACTCTTCGTCCACGTACGGGATGGGTTCGAACGTTTCCAACACCGTATTGTCCACATTGCAGGTGTACTTGGTGTCGATATGGCACTCTTCAAACTTCATGTTCGACTCGAAGCGAACTACTTTGGAAATTCCTGGTTTGTAGTCATCGCCTTCCGCGGTGGTGGCATTTGACGTTCCACTCTTTTCCGGCGGGATGATATCCGGTAAAGATCCTTTCAAGCCAGCGAAACTGTTCAGTTTTCCCGGTTCAGAGGATCCAACACCGCTACCTGTGCCGCCTACCATGCCCAAACAGGTCGTTGGCCTCGGTGCCATCTCCAGGCCGAATCCGAACGAGAGGGATTTGTCGCGCAGATTTTGCGGATCGGCAGACAGTAGTTTCGATTGACGTTCGTGCCAAAACGACACGCTGACCAGATCTTTGAAGTTGGACAGCGAGTGTCTCCTCTGCAGCACCGCTCTCGGTTTTGGCATGTACAGGCGAATGTCTTTGTCGGACTTTTTCACATCCGTTGGCGTTAGAATATCACTGCCTTCCGACTCGGAGTCCGACGAAACGTGCTTCTCCGGTACCCGTGCCAGTGTCAGCGGGAGACTGAAATCTTGCAGAGCAAACAGTTCGGCCCGGGGGCTAGGCAGACTCTCGCCCCACCGATAGGGCATAGATCGTTTCTTGCTCGGCAACCGGTACGGTTTGATGTAGATTTGGCCGTAAATTTTCGTGTGCTTAGGTCGTTTTTTCAACGTCAGTAGAACGTCTGTGAAATGTTTTGACGATAACGAGAACAGGAGTGAGTGAAATGTTGATACGATAAGGGGGGAAAAACGCTCTGCTTACCAGGTGGCGATTCCTGTAGCTGTACGAGAACCTTCTTGTACTCCCAGCCAACCACGGTTTGGTAGTTGATCTGTACTATTTCATCACCTTCCTCCACCTTGCCAGAGTTGTGTGCGGGGGAGTTGAATTTTATTTCGGCAATCCTGCAAATCGGGTTGGATTAATGGTTTGTTTATTTGTGTCGGGTAAAATAAACATCGTAGAAGATGAAAGAAAAATTAAGTTTATAGGCCGAGTGAAACGTTGTGCAATACGTACCTGTGAATTCCATTCAAGCTGGGCATGATCAAGAAGCCAAGATCGGATTCCCGCTTCTTTAGGGTGACGAGGTCAAGCGATGCCGGTTGTAGAACCATCGGATCGGAAATATCCTGGATGATATAGTCGGCTATTTTCGCTAGTTTGTCGGCCACATTGTGAATCTGAAAAAAAAACGGACCGAAGGTTACCTCCCACCTACTATTTACATTGTTAGCAACGAACATACCGTTTCCACAGGCTTTACGGAGAATCGATCACGCATAGCCATGGTGGCCATTTCGAGACCAAGTCTCATCATCTGCGTCCGCAATTCATCGAATTGAAGCTGACCTAGAGAAGACGCATTACAATTGGTTCGTCGAAAACAAAAAAAAATCAGCAGTTACCTCTAAATGGAGCTCGATCAAGCCATCCTATCAACGGCTTCAGTGCCCCTATGGTCCGAGTAATATCCTTCAATATCTGCGTTTCGAGTTTGGTTTGATCCGAGTATTCCAGTTGCTTGCAAAGTGACCGCGCCGCCGAGGCAACATGCAAGGCCAGCAGTTGTAGATTTTCCTTGTCTAAGTTGTAATTCTGCAACAGAAATAAGGTTGACTCATTCTTGTTCATTTGATATTCAGCAGATTGTCATGCTTACAAAATTCTTAAGATACTCCACAGCTTCCAGCACGATTTCTTGATGACCTATCGATAGCATCCCGAGTTGCTCCAACTCGTAGGGACGAATGTTGAGTAGTTGCCGGCCACCTACTTCATTGTTGGTAAACGACTGTACGTAGTGATACATCGAGTTATCGAGGCCTAGAGTATTGCGAGATAAAACAACATGTCGTAAAAGAGGAAGTATGTTCTCTTTTCCCAGTTGGTGACCCAGTTTCCGAGCGATGATGCCAAAGGTTAGCTTTTCGCTCTCCCTTTTATGCTCAATAATAAACTGAGCACACTTCCGTCATATTCAGTGTCGATAAAGATACGTCCATTAACCATGGCATGAACGTCCTTGTAGGATCCATGTACCCTTTATAGAATTATGTGTGTGTGTGTGAGTGAATGTCAAAGAACACGGTCGACTAGAAAACCGATTAGCATAAAAGATAATATGTTGAAGGAAAGGCACCGAAAGATGCTGATACTTTATTATAGTCATCATCCAGAGAGGAAAAGACAGAATGAGAAAAATCGTAATCATCCATGCTGGTAATTAAACGTTTTTGTTTGGTAAACATTTTTTTAATGCCTGCAGGCATCCTACGGCATGGAGATGGAGTCAGTTCGGGAAGAGGCAAAAAGTGCGAAAACAGTCAAAAGTAGCTGCTAGAGATAAACAATGTTATCAATGGCACAGCTTCACCGAAGATTGTGTGAGAGCGCTGAAGGTTACGAAATAAGCGAAATGTTCAATCTTGCTGGTTGTTTTGTTCGTTTGGTTGCACAGGCCATGGTGATTTGGATTGATGTAAAATGTCAGTTCTAATAATATGCCAAAAAAATTTGTATGTCCTTTTGTTGAACGAATTCATCAATATTCAAATGATTTTACATGTCTTAACACTAGCATTTATAGCACTCGAGAAATTTGATATAATGGATATGATTCAATATGCACCCATCCCATTTACCTACATAGTGGAAGCAAACTTGACCCCAACGAGCACGCCCGAAACCCCCTGTTTTCTTACCTTTTAACCAGTCCGTGACCTGATCGCTGCTCCATTCGGCCACATTGATGTAAGCCATTTTCCCAGAGCACCGCGACTACTGCCTTCGCTTCACTGACCACCACTTTTCGTGTGTGTTGTTTTCGCCTTCCACTTTGCACTAAAAGCTATTGCTGCTCTATACCACTGGCTGACTCCTGCTATATTATTTGGTGACGACGAGAAGAAATTCCTTCGAAGATCTCGCTTGCGATTCCTCCTCCTCCTCCGACCGACCAACCAAAAGGGGTGACTAATTTGAGTCCCCCTCTCCGAATATTCCACCTTAAATTATACCACTAAACATGTCCGTTTTCGGCCGGATTTCTATCACAACGCATGCATTGTCACTCAAACTCACGATTGCATGCACTTTAGGGTCGATACATCACAGAAAACGTGCACAATTTCACATTTTTCACGAGATAAAATCCTCGCTTGCCATCTTCTTCTGGGGGTGTTTTATGAGTGTGTGTGTGACAAAAATACACCAGCATGAATGAGCTTCAGCATCACATCAGGCTGAGGCAGCAAACGAGGGTCGTTTGACGTTGGATTTCCTTTCGATTGGCTCTTTGATGCTTTGCTTCTGTGTTTTGCGGAATTTATGAATGAACTCGCACTAACACACATCGACGATTTGGATTAGTCGAGTAGATGGATTCTGCTTTGTCAAGGTTTGTTTTGTTTGCTTTGTACCCTGTGGCTGAAGTTATTAGAAGAAGCAAGAAAGTGTCAACGATTCGAACTGATGTCGCTTTTTTTTACAGGGGAACGACACATCCTTAACCGTGCTTAACCTACACCCGCATAAACAATAACCATAAGATGCGCCTAACCACCAATTCGGGTTATCATCCCAACTTTATGTGGTATGGTCGCACCATCTAAGATATCGTCGGTATATGGTACCCGTTTATTAGGGCATCCACTCAAAAATATTGAAATCTAAATAGCATAAAGTTAAACCATAGAGGTAACTCTAAGACCACTGGGTCCCGAAGAAAATCATTATTATTTTTGGCTCACTCAGTACCAGAACAACGGTCCCACACGAAACGAAAATCAATTATTTAATTCATGTGTTTCACTTATACATTTTTGCCAAAGCATCAGCCTTATACATTCCATAAGACAAACCACATAGGTCCTATAAGAATGGATAAAAGGTATGTGTGACCGCTTATACATTTCATTTGACACATGATCTTTATTAACTTTTTGCAAGGTGTCTGCTTATTAGTTGACTTATACATTTTATGAATAAACAGCAATGGAAATTTGCCAAAAGGTATAAGGAGATTTCTATCCGTGCAAGCAGTCCCAAGGTATTTCATTCACCCCTGCATGTTCTGCATGAATCCACACACCCCTGATGTTATCTGTCAAACTTTCATAGCGAATCAAAACAAACATAGTGTAGTAATAGAATTTCAACTAGAATAGGGTACGTTAATCGTTTGCTTGGGACCAATAGGCTACTAAAGTGGTGAGCCAATTTAAAATCGTTAGTTTCGTATTGATTGTTGGTTAAACGCTGTACAGACTGGAGAGTTATAACATGTTATAACGGTTGTCAAATAATTGCAACACAGAAACAACAATCAAGATAGCGCTATAACATGTTATAACTCTGTAGTCTGAACGTACTATTACGCTAAATCGCAACTCTCCGTGCCGACGCAAAGGTCGGTTTAAAGGGAGAGAATGCAAACTTAGTATAAAAATGGTTTATGCGAGCCATAGTATAAAATCGATATATCAGTGCTAACATTTGAAAACGGCACCAAAGGCATTTGTAAACAAATGGTTTGTGGGCCCTTTACTCACTACTTGAAGTACACCCACGCGACACAACAGCAACATCGGGTAGGGGAAATTTTCCCCTTCCTGACGATCCTGTTGGTTTGCGTGGGCGTTCTTCGGGTAGCGAGTAAAGGGCCCACAAACCATTTGTTTACAAATGGCTTTTGCGCCGTTTTCAAATGTTAGCACTGATATACTTACAATGCATAAATACGGTTTATTCGAGAGGAAGTATTTTTTCGCCTATTTATTTTATTTATGGTAAATATTATTGTTTTCAAATAAAAATAAAAAAATTACCGCCTTGTCAAGCAGTTTTTGCGTGACTTTCTACCAGCGATTTCACAAAACTGGACCAACTAATTTCTATTTTTATGAAACGTGCAAATGTTGGTTACTTTTCTCGTGGTTCTAGAAGTGTTCGAGTGGTAGTACACGTCATTATAACTGCTCGAAAAAAGTGGTTAATTGTCTTAGGAAGGTTTTTTTCAATGAATATTATTAAAAAAAAAACACGTACAATTTCGATGTTCATTATGATGAACGATGGAGATGAACTAGCCTACGGCTAAAAATCTCCTAAATAAAGAAAAAAAATAGGATAAACTCCTGCTCACGCAGTCTAGCTGCCCAGCTGATCACATGCGCAGTAGAAATTCGCTGGGACGAAGCTCTTCACCAGCACGAAGCTCCGAAGAGAATCCAGATGTTCTATTTCCGGACGAGTTGTGACGTGACGGATTTCTTCCCGGACGGGTTGTGACTGTCGGTCAAGCGGCTTTATCTCTCCTGGAACACAAGCCCTCGCACAAGCCAAACTTTCCAAACCAGCAGGATAAGAAATAGGAAAACACCGAGGGGGGCGACACATCTAAATCTCAATTCTAGATGCTCAAAAAATCTCACACTAGCGAATCAATCTTAGAAAAATCATCTTTCATTTCTCGCATCTACTTGCATCGTGCTTCATCTTTTTGCAGGAAATCTTCAAAAACGACATAAATCTTCCTTCTATATACTCAGCGTGCGTGAAGCTAGCCACTGCAAAACACAATCTTTTCTGCATCGTAGATAGAGTCGCCCCCCTCGGAAAACACATGTATTTTTAATTGCATTTATACAAGGGGTAAGTCACTCTGCCACATTGTGCTAACACCCACAGAAACACACTTCAAACACTCACTAACACCCATGATAAGCAAAGGTTTTAATCAATTCTGGCCCCACTGCAAATAATGTTTACATTCGATTGTTATTTTTTTGTTTAAATGACCGGGAAAGAGAAACATTCTTGGTTTGATTTGAAAACTTCCCATCCGAAAAAAAGTTAATACGAACTCGGTTAGGATCCACGAAAGCAGCAGTATCAGGAGGAACAGTTGCTAAAAAATGTAATGATGTCGTGCAAAAAACCAAGACATCCGCAACGGAACAGTTACTGATTGTCAATTCTATATAGGTTCACGGCCCCACCAATTGATTGCAAATTTTGCACTTAGAGTTGGAACTATTGCCACCGACTGGATTCTACTGCGGGTATTTTAAAAAAGAAAAAAGAAAAAAAAGAAATACCACCAACAAAAATCAGTTATCTCTCTTATTATTATCACATAATTTATCTTTTCAAATGAGTTTTAACCTAAACAAGATTATCGCTGAACTCTTCGCTGCCAGACACCTTTATTATGAAAAAACAAAAAAAAAACAAAACTTAAATTTAGTTAAAGTTTCGAGGGGTGCATCGGTTAGCTTGGGATCGAAGAGAGTACCACACACTTAAAATTTTTCGCCGAGATTCCAACAGCCGAGTGATTCTGCAAGTTATTTTGCTGAGATTCAGTAAAACAACTGCCGAGACTCAGCTAACAAATAACATTTTGCTGAGATATCAGCTAACAAACAGATATTTTGCAGAGATATCAGCAAAAATAAATGCCGAGGTAATCGGCTGTTGGAGATTTTACCGAGCTAGATTAAGTGTGCAGAGCTGAGCCAAAAAGTTGAGCACGTTTCTTCGGGACCTTCTGGTCTTAGAGTTACCTCTATGCTAATAGAGCGAGTGTTCCAGTTGGTAATTCTGAAACTGCGGGGCTCAGTTCATCCCATAATGACAAACCATATAGCCAAGGACCCTGATCTACTCCACGCGTATTTTGCACTGCTGAAGCCGATTGCAGAGCTCGTTTAAAATGGGCCATAGTTGGGCCGAACTGTAGAGGTTCGACCCATCCTCTTCTGGTGTTGGATTTGCCGACGCTGCATACGATGCAGCTCCAGGGTGAGGATCAATGCGACCTATGTTTTGGCAGCGCCCGGTCCGGGCTGGGGATCCGCATTGTTAGGTTTTCCGCCTGGCAACTCTGGGGTCGACGGAAGGGATGGGATCATCTTCTGTGAACTTCGGTGCCTTCGGTGTTTTCTTCACTAGTCTGCGCCCCGGCTGATTCGCAGTTGTTGCTTCTTGCTAAATTTTGATGTACTCGGTGCTCTTGGTGCAGCAACGGTCCGTTGCTGGATGAGATCCTCTGCAGTTAGCAAACCGCCTGGTTGGGGCACTCTTAGTCGGGCAATTGTCGGTGTTGTGGACAGCACCGCAGTTTGTTGCATCGGCTCTTCAGACGAGAGTTCTTCATATATCATGACCGTAGAGAAGGCAGTTCATACTCTGTGTCACATCAGATCTGTTATGCTTCCCATCGGATGATGATGTTCGCGACGGCTTTCACCTAACGCAGCTTCTTGAGAGTGGTGTAACCATAGAGGTAACTCTAAGACCAGAAGGTCCCGAAGAAACATGCTCAACTTTTTGGCTCAGCTCTGGTACTATCTTCGGTCCCAAGCTAATCGATGCATCCCTCGAAACATAGGAAAATCCACGAGCCCCTCATTTTGTCTGTCAAACTTTCAAAGCGAATCAAAACAAACATAGTGTAGAAGTAGAATTTTGACAAGATTGGGGTACTTTAATCGATTTGCTTGGGACCAATAGGCTAGTCAAGTAGTGAGCCAATTTAAAATCGCTAGTTTCGTATTGATTGTTGGTGTAACCCTTGGGGAAGTATACCAGGTAGAGGGCATCGTTTTGCATAGCAACCTCCTCGCTACGCTTGATAATGTGAACGTTGAGAGCTTCAAGTTCACACTCAGTGAGCATACAGGAACAGATTTCCTTTGAGTCTACCAGTGGAAGCCCTCGGATGACGACCTTGAAGGGCCGGTTATTGGGCTTGTCGTGCGGGTAGTATTCCACTTTCGCTGTTTGCAGATGATTTTTCACGAGGGAGAAATCTTGTGCCAACGCTAGTTATCTTGAGGACTGCTTTGGAGCTGGTCTTCAGCACCGACTGTGTAAGGGTAGAGAAATCCACGTTCCACTCCACTAGCAGCGGCTGCTTATTTTTGCCAGATTTATGATCCGATGGCGTTGTTGAGGAACTAGTACCCTGTTCTTCGGTGTTTGCAGCCAATGGCACGAATGGATTCTGGCTACGGTTTACCAATGATCGTACCACCTCTGATAACGATGACCATGTTTCCACCTCGATTGTCTGCTCAGATCAGTAAATGAGGTTCGATAGAATTATTTCGAAAATTATTTACATCATCGTTTTGGGCGATTTGCATTAAGGGGCTGAACCAATACCACATGCACTTCAACTTGGGAAGACAATCATTCTACAAAGAGCATTACATATTTCAACTGAGG